TGGAAAGCAGTCGGCCGCTTCTTGGGATCGGGCCTGAAGAACTCATGTAGGAGATCCTGCAAAGCAGTCGATAACCCGAGCGTGCCCATCAGCGCATTTGCTGAAGTATAACGCTGCAGCACATCCGTTCCGAATCCCATCTGAAGGAAGACGATACCCAGGTCCCAGACGTCCGTCTTCATGGTCAACGGTGCGGTCCCGTGTGTTAATTCAGGGGGCATCCAAAATGGCGATTTCGACGTTGTGAGTAACCGCTTGCTGGCAGGCGAATCAGGGAGAGCTTCTTCAATGCCAGCTCGCAGTTTTACAATGGTCCCCCCAGTACGAGTTCTAAACAACAGGATGCGACCACAATGAATATTGCCATGAACAAAACCACTACGGTGGTAAAACTCCAAGGCTTCCAGCAGCTGGATCGTCCAGCTGCGGAGTACTTCCACAGGAACGGTTCCGACAATATCCAAGAACTCGGCCAATGTTCCCTTGTTCGAATACTCCTGGAGGGCATAGACAGTCCAGATACTGTCCTGAGTATCCTGCATGCTCAAGGGTCGGGTTATTTTGAACCCAACAAAATCCACCAGGTTGGGATGCCGTAATTTCTTCAGGCCTTCCAGCCTGTCCTCACTGGAGCGCATCTTTTCTCGAAACAGAAGGGGCTCGACCCCCTTCTCATCCAAAGATATTTCTCTCAGAACCAGCAAAGGCGCATGGGACCGGTTGTCGGAGACGACCGGTCTCACGGTATACGTCTCCTTTCCTGGTCCGATCTGGAGAAGCGACTTGCCGTACACCGCGCGGAAGACCAAGGTGGCCTGGTCCGTATCCGTCATAGCTAACGGAGGGTCGAAGGTAATCGCCCCGGGTATGTTCTCCACAGCATCAGTGTCCCCATTCGCATCCAATCCAGGAGTGCGACTTTTACGTCGGGACAATCGTGCCTTGGCCCGCTCTCGGACCTTGTCCTCCAAGAGCTGCTGGAGGGCACGCTCTTCTTCTGCTGTGGCTGCCTCCTGTTTCCGGATCTCTTCTTGTCGTTCCAGCTCGGCTCGCTGGTTGGCGGCGGCTTCCTGTTCCATTCGCTCCTCCTCTAAGCTCGGAAGATCCTTGTCTTGAGCTTGAGCCTCAGCCACATCTTCCAAGACGTCTTGAATGGACACCGCCAATTCGTATATCATTTCAGAGCCGAGAAGGGTCTTCGGCTTATTCTGTACAATGTCTTGAATTCTCGATCGAGCGCCTTTTCGGAGATCGTCTAAGTTTTCCAGGGATATGTTGGGGTAGGTCTTGGGATAGGTGGTGGGCAGCTCGACGAGCAATACCAGGTGGACGTCGGGGTTGGACGAGGCGCGCAGATGAAGCTTGAAGGCGACCTCAGACGATTGCTATAGAGCTTCTTGGTCAGCGATGCATCGAGCGATACCAATGCGACAATCACATACCTGCCAGGCAGAGCGCCTGTGCTGCACCTCTTCGAAATCATCACCGTAGATGGAGCGCAATGCTTCGACTTCATTCTGGTGGATCTCCTGATAATTGGTGGGGGCAACTACCGGCGGCGAGAAAGACGGCGAGTCTGGACGGAGTAGCTGCTGCTGCGGCTGCTGCTGCTTTTTCTCCGCTCGGGGAGAGCCGTGCTTAGGGGCATTGCTGAAATTCTTCTTCTGTTTGTGAGGCATAGCGGGGCGCTGGTCGGGCGGTGAAGATAGTGGATGCACCGTGATCGAGATTGGCCTTTGCCACGGAAATTAGTGACAAAGATGCAGCCGAAGCTGCAGCCCTCTATAGCTCAGTAGAGAACATATCTGAATTGGGAGAATAAAAGGGGAAAGAAAGGGTGTAGAAGTATGTATATGTGTGGAGGGAGAGAAAGGTAAATTAGACAAGAGAAGGAGGAGGGGGAGGGAGGAAATGGTTTAGTGTAGCAGTTCAAAAGACGGGAAGAGAGGAAAAGAGCGGTAACCCGACAGCGAGTATATGAACGCCCAATGGAAGCGCCGCCCCGTCGTTTTTCCGCCCACCGCCTTTGGGGCGGGCAGCTCGTGACTTGGCGCATCATCGCCGTAAACAAAGCACAGCGTTCCACGTCAATCCTCTGGCCCCCCAATGGTCTTGTTGGTGCCATGCGTGTCTCGTTCAGTCCCATAATTTGATTGCTGGTGAATCGCCGGTTTCTCTTGTCCCCTGCAGACGCGATGCTGGGGTGGATCACTGGGCAGGAAGACCAGGTCGCAGGTGCGTGTGTTTCCCTCAGTACTTTCTGCTGGTCGCTACGAGTAGTAGTATGGCTTGCTGCCCGCCCTGCTGCTGCTGCTGCGTGCGCGCGCCCTTCCCTCCACCTCCCTCCATATACGGCCCAATAATGGCCTTCCAATTCATCTGACCCCGTTTCCCACCCGCGCTCATCGCGCGCTGACCTGTTTTTCTAACTTGTTATCCCCATAGACAACTCAAGGGCCGGAGAGCCACCCGAGACGCCCGCTCCCGTGTTTGCGATCCGCGCTTTCAAGAGCGCCTTGTTTGGTACCCCAGGTGCCGATGACGACGAATCCACCCACCGTACTACTACTGCTGCTACTACTTCTGCTGCTGTGAAGACGACGAATCCATCGACCAATCAGCTGCTGAATGATCACATCAAGTTGAAACCATCCAGTGGAAACACAGGGGATGCTTTCAAAGCTTCCAAAGCCGACTTGGATCTGGCAGTGAACGCGATGGCATCGCCTACAAAAAGTATCCTCGTAACACCCGGAACCGCATCCAACCGTCGCAAAACCGTGTCGTTCGGCGACGGGGTCGTCGATAACGAGCGCAAGCGGGAAGACCCGTTCACGAAACCTAACAAAACCCCCACCTCTTCATCCAACAACTTCTCCAGCCAGTGGTCGGCCAACTCTTCGGACGGAAAGTTCAAACCTCGCAGTAAACTGACGCAAGCCTTAATGGATTCGCGAGAAAAGTCAAAGGGCACGGGGCTCTTTTCGTCACAGGACCTCGAGCCCAACCCCTCATCCGAGGGGTCCAGACCATCGCCAACGGAAGATGACAACGACGATACCATCAACCTGAACGAGCCACGGTCGCAGTCGGGGAAATACTGGAAAGCCGAGTTTGATAGTTACCGGACGAAAACAACGTGGGAAATCAAGAAGCTTATCCAGTACCGCTCAGCCGCCAAAACATATGCCAAGAAGAAGGATGAAGAAGCGTCGCGACTCGCCGATAAGTTGAGGGAGGAGGAGATCAAGGTCTCTGAGATGGAGCGCCATGTTACCCACCTAGCATCGACCATGGTTGGCGAGAGCGCCAATGCCGATAAGGAGAAACTGGTGCAGGACCTCACCAAGCAGACCGCGTTGGCTCTGCAATACAAGCACCGCGTCAACTCACTACGCAAACTGCTGGAACGGCACGGCGTTGTAGGGAACGAAGTCGATGATATCGCTGAGCAATCTGAATCCGAAAGTTCTTCAGAGAAGGCTACGGAAGAGCTCCGCAAGACCCAGCAGGCTCTGGACGAAGCGAAGACCAAGATCGACGACATGAAGCTTCAGCAGTCCGACTTCACCAAACTACAAGATCTCGCGCGCAGCTCTGAACAGAAAGCCTGCGAGCTGCAGAAGGAAAACGCGTCTCTCAAGCAGACCCTGGCCCGGGTGAAGCAGGAGATGAGCAAATACGAAGGACGCCGGAAGGAGAAGGAAGCTAAGCTCAAGCAACGCGAGGCCAAATTGGAAACGCGCATCCAGGAGTACCGCGAACGGTTGAAGACCGCATCTCAGCAACATCGCGATCACGAGGAGGATCTGAAAGAGTCATTCAACGAGGAACGCCGTCGCATGCAGGAGCAGATTGACCAGCTCAAGATCAAACTCACTGCGATCGAGAGCCTCCCACACACCCAGGTTCGAGCGCGTCACACCGAGAGCCCTCGCAAGAACTACACCGGCGTGCATGTCTTCGATTTCGGGCAGAACAGTCCCCAAAAGGACGCTGAAGACGACAACACCGCGGACATCGATGAGCCACCCAGTCCCAGCCCGCGCGCCAAAGAACGCCGCTCCTACCCATCCCGATACACCACCACCGCCGGCGACCTGGACCTCAAACGAGCCATGAAAGCCATGGGCATCACCGACGAAGACCAACTCGCCTACCTCGGCGAATCCCTTAAACCTCTCAAAGCCCGCTACCAAAACGAGCATCACGATGACGAAGAACCAGCCACCATCCCGCCCTCCTCTCCACCCGACTACCCCCATCACCACCACCATCACCCTCCACCCTCCACCCGCCCGCGTCCCAAACAGAAACCCACCAACACCAACACCTACCGCAGTCTCTACGCCCCAACCAACACAACCATGACCTCCCTCGCCCACCACCTCGCCAACAACCTCGACGACAGCAATCACGGCCGTCAACGCGCGCGCCGTTCCCCCTCCAAATATAGCCTCGACGCAGTCACGGCCCTCCCGGACTCACACGTCCTCGACCGCGCCAAGCGCCGTCAAAGCCTCGCGGCCGTTGTACCCCGAGACTCCATCCCCATGGACCGCAAACTGCAGGCCCAAGCACGTCTCAAGCAACGAAAAGAGGAAACCCGAAAGGGAAAAGAGAATATGCGCACTTATACGAACCAAGCCTTATCGGTTCTTGAACCTATTTCTTAATGTTTTTTCTTCCTTCTTCCTTTATCTTATATCTCCTATATGTCAAATGGGAACAACGGCACGGAGTGACATGGAACGGATGGTGGATGGATAGATGGATGGATGGATGGATGGATATATGAAAGGATCATTCTCTTGTCACGGATAGCTTTGATACTTGAACCGAACCGCTCTTTTCCCTTTGTGTGTTGTGATGGAAGTGAATACCTCCTTATTGTCTGGTCTCGTCTGATCTGATCTGATCTGATTGATCTGTCTTTTGTTTGTCCGGTGGTCTGGTGATTTGGTCTGGTCCGGTCTGGTCTGATACCTGTTTTCTTTTTTCCCTCTTCCTCTGTTGATGTGAATGTCACTGTCACTCACTCACTCACTACTTAGCTCTAGCCCTAGCTCTAGTCCATTGATCGTTGATCGTACGTAATCTTAGTTTTTATTCTCCTCCACATCTCTACCTACACCTTCCATACATTCAATTACTCAATCAAGTCTACTCTTTCAAGGATAGGTAATAAAAACCCAACCACATGACACCTCAACCATCCAAAAAATGTATACACATCCAACTGAACCCCATCTATCAATCCATCCATCCCATTCAGATCTATCAAATCAATCATTTATCATCTAAATATATCTAAATGGTGATCATCTAAGCCTTCCCATCACAAAACGACACAACAGCCCACTTCCCACTCCACGCCCACTTCCTCGCCTCGTCGCCCCCACCATTGGGCAGCTGGCGGAGTTTCTCATCCACACCCTCGGGCAGACCAACCACCACGTCGGCCTTGCAGGTGCGGAAGGCCATTACGCGGACGCCGGATTGCGGGCCCAGTGGGCCGATGGCTTCTGTGAAGGGGGTTGTGGGGGCCCATGCGGCCTATATGATTTAATCGGATTAGAATTTGAAGAGGGAATGATGAAATTGGGGGGGAGGGAGAGGAACGCACATCGTTGGTCAACTTGCGGTAGTTCAAGTCACCCTTGAACAAGACCAATTCGCTCTCTTTCAGGTCATTGAAGAGATCCGGGGCTACATATGGCATGCGCCAGTAACTTCCGGGGGTGGTCCAGAAGGAGTGTGGACGGATGATCAGTTTTCCTTCGGCGTGGAGGTGGCTCCAGTGGTCGAAGAGGAATTTGACTTCGGAGACTTCCTTCTCCGAGAGGGGGTCGAAGGTCTTGCCGGACTCGTCGGGGGCAGTGTAGAAGGCCTGGGGGTCGGAGAGGGCGGCGATGAGGGCGGCGAAGTCCGGGGGAGTGACGTCGGAGACGAACCAGGGGATGTTCTTGGGGTGGAGGACGACGGTGGTTGCGAGGCCGGCGGAGAGGAGGTAGCCGGCGAGGATGAGGTCGACGAAGAGCTCGAAGCCGGAGTTGTCGAGGACGATGTCGACGCGGCGGTCCTGGTTCTTGCGGTCGCGACGGGCCTGGTGCAGGACGTCGAAGGAGGCGTTGAGGTCGTTGACGAGGATGTTCTTCTCCGAAGCCTTGCGGGCTTCGGAGCCCTGGAGCTTCTGGATGTCTTCGTAGGTGAGGGAGGTGAGGAGGGAGAGGTCGGTGGCGTTGCCCCAGAGGCAGATCTCGCACATCTCGGAGAAGAGGATGCGGTCGGCTTGCTCGATCTGCTCGGGGGTCTTGCCGTCTGTGCCCTTGCTGGCCTCCTCGGCCAGTTCCTTGTATCGTGCGGCGAGTTCGAGAACGGCGGGCCGGGAGGACTTGAAGGTGGACATCTTCTGGCGGGCGAACACGTCATAGCCCTTCCAGTGCTTGGAGAGGGAGAAGAAAGTGCTCAGACGTCTGTCTGGTGGGTGTTAGCTGGGGTGTCAGTATGGAGGTATGCCAATTGCACGCACAGAGGTAGCATTCTGAGTAGAGCCATGCGACGTCGTGCCATGAAGGGTTTCCCCGCTGCTCCAGCTCCTGGTTGTACGCCGCAATGTCGGGCTGGCCATCGTCGGGGAGGGGGCTATAGATGGTCAATGACTGTTTGGTTGTCGGGTATAGGCGGGGAGAATGATCTCACGTCAACTGCCTGTTGTGCTGCAGCTCATATTTGAATGCTGCGAGGTTCCCAATGATGGCTTTTCCTTCCTGACGCTTCTCCTCGTCGGTTACATCGGCGACGCTGCGGTGCAGATCATCAATCGCGCCAGTCTATACGCAGAGTATTAGTCGATGCATATATAGCAAGCGTAGGATTGCATCTAGCATACCAGGATGACGGGCCAGCGTTCATGGGCTGAGACGGAGGCGAAGCTGGACTTGTCGGAGGTGAGATACTGCGCTGCGGAGGGGAAGGCGGGGTTAGTGTGGGTTGCAGAGAGGGGGACAGTGTCACTCACGAGTCTGGGGTTCGTATTCCATGATGAAGAGAATAATTATGCGATTAAATAAGTAGGAATAAGTCAAGGAGAGAAAAAGACCAGAAGAGAGAGAGGGAGGGAAAAGAGTGCGAGCCAAGATGGGAGAAGAGCGAGAAACAAACACGACGTCGGTTGGCAATCGCGGGGTCCCTGCCGTCGGGATTCTCTGCACCGACAGTCCCTTTTAACCCTCATTTCTCCCCCATGCAATTCAGTGGCATCTTTTATCTAAGTGATGAATACAGAAATCCGACTGGAAGGCAAGACGCACGACACGAAGCAATTCGTCCAACCAATTCCCCTCCAACAGCCAATCCAACGTCGCCAGACCTGCACATGCGGGACAACTCAACCGCAGACATACAGCTAGATAGCCTTGGGAAAAAAAAGATATAACTAGCAAGATAGATAGATAGATATTCCGCTATGCAAAGAGTTCACGAGATCGTCGTCAATCATCCGTAGATACATGGCCCTCGTACTGTGTAATCCAAGGCTTTTCGCATCTTCTTCTTCTTCTCATCTGAACGTCGCAGTTCCCATCCTGAATCGTGGTGTATATGTATCATGTCCCCGTCCGATCGGCGAGATTGACTCGCTCCCAATCCATCCCATGAACGCCCAGCTTGCAAAGCAGTCAAGCCTCTCACATCATCGACGACATGAGAGAGTTTTGCGCATACGCCTGGAAGATGTTCGTTAGCCTGCCAGTTCGCACTTTTCGTCAAGATAATGATATATCACTTACCATCGGCTTAATATCCGGGTGAGGAACAGCCTCAAACACCTGGTACTCAAGCTTAAGCTCGGGTCCAATCTTGATGAAGGCACCCTTGTTCTCCGTGGTGTCGCAGTACTTCGGCGCAGAGAAGACGGTGATACACCGTCCGTCGTGCTCGACCTCGTAGCCCTCCATACGCACCTCGTGCGAACGGATAATCGCTTCCAGACCGTTCTTCTCACAGAAGCGCTTGGTGACATCCGGACCAAACTGAAGACCAACACCACGCTTGCTGGGTCCGCGACCGGGCGCGGTCTGCGGGTCCGTCCACAGCATTTCCATCATCAATCCCTGCTGTCCGGGTTGGCGCTGGTTGTGGCGGTTCAGCTTGCGGATATCATCCAGCGTAGTGTTGTCATCCGAGAAGAGACCGCCATGGAGCACAAGGTACTTGTTGCCGATCAACGTAGCCAGCGGCAGAGCCGAGAAGGACTCGGAGAAGACCTTGAACACCGTCTCATTGTACTTGGCCTTGCACTCGCCCTCGAAGCCATACACCTTGTTCATGTCGTCCGTCTCGTGGTTGCCACGGTTCAGGAAGATTCCGTTGGGGCGCAGCCACTTGTAGGCGTACAGCAAGAGAGCAATCTCCGTCGACCACGATCCACGGTCCACAAAGTCACCGTTGAAGAGATAAGCATGGGTATCGCTAGGGTAGCCGTTGAGGCGGAAGATCTCGAGGAGATCAAAGAATTGACCGTGAGTGTCACCGCAAACCGTCAACCTAGTACCCTCCTTAACACCCACCTCCACCATCGTCGGCTCCGCATAGACAAGATCCTTGACGGCCTTGATTATTTGGAAAGCGTATTTGCGATGGATCTTCTTTCCGTTCTTGAACCGCTCGATCATGTCATCAATGAACTCCTGCGTCATTTCCTTCTCCAAGCGCACACCATCATACTTGTCATCCACGACCATCGCATCGATATCCAGGTCCTCGAAAGCGGAGGGCGGGTCACCGACCTCGATCGCCTTTTCGAACTCGAGCCGACGGACGAGCTTCTCGCACTCGGTAAGCTTTAGCTTAGCATCGCGGTTGTTGGGCTCCCTCTTGATCACGGCCTTGAAGTCTTTCAGGGCTTCCTTGTAGTGCAGAATAGCGGAGTTCGCAAGGGCTCGGCGCCAGTAGGCCTATCGATAGTAGGTGAATGAGTCAGAGAGGCGAACAACAACAACAAGCAGCAGCAGCATCCAACGAACCTTGACATAGTTGGAGTCAAGCTCCAGTGCCTTGGAGGCATCAGCGATCGCAAATCCATACGCCTCGAGCTTGATATGTGCCTAAACATAAACCCCAGAACAGTCAGCATGTTAACACAGACCTCCACCTCCAACACCAGAGTTATCCAGCAGTAGCGCCACCTACCTGAGCACGGTTACTAAAGAACGACGGCTCCTTATCATACTTCTCAATGGCTCTAGTGTAGAAATCTATAGCAGTAGGCCACTCATGTTCAGCGAAGGCCTTATTCCCCTGCACCTTGAGGGCAGTGGCGGCCTCGAGATCGGGGGAAGCCATGGGGGGCGTCGGGCGGCGCAACAGTGAAGCGTTCAACGAAAGGAGGGGAGGGGGGAGGTGGATTTCGGGGCAAGAGAGCACGAGATCCTTCGCAGTTTAATATTGGAATGGTTCAATATGGGGAAAAGCAAGAAAATAGAAGTAGAAAATAGAAATGAATAATGAAAGGCGAAAAAGAAGAAAATATCAAAAAAGTAAAAAAGTTCCTGAAACTTTTTCCTCGGGCTCACCCGTTCCTGGATTCAACTTCCAAGCGCTTTTAAACTCGGGTCGATGATGGATTGATTGATTGATTGATTTGCTTTCCCTTCCGTCACTTTTCTCCGGGCTGGGTGGTCTTGGCGCCGACCCTCCGATTCCAGAACCCTCTTGGTGTCTCTTGTTCTTGCCGCATGCATCTTACCTACAATCCCTACACAACCTCCCCCTACCATTCTATTGTCTCGCCAATTCCAACCCTAGAAAATAGAAGAGGGGCCGAAAAAAGAAAGATGTCCTTCTACGTCGCCCCCAGCCAGCAGCGCACTCTCCGCGCCTGCATGGTTTGCTCGCTCGTCCAACTGCACAGCGTACGTCCAGCTGCTACTACCTACCTACCTTCCCCCCAAAGAAAAACATCAGTTAACACCTTTGTTTCAATGGAATAGAAATTCATGCGCGAAGGCTGTCCCAACTGCGACAACGTCCTCGGCCTCCGGGGTAACAACGACGCGATCCAAGAATGCACGTCGCAGGTCTTCGAGGGCCTAGTGACGCTCCGCGATCCCACCACCAGCTGGGTGGCTAGATGGCAGAGATTGGATAGTTATGTGCCGGGGACGTATGCGGTTAAGGTTACGGGGTCGGTGAGTATACACCCAGATTATTATGGTGGTGGCGGTAGTGGTGGTGAAGAGGATATCGGGCTAATAGTGGTGGGTGAACAGCTTCCCGACGAGATTATTTCCAGTTTGGAGGATTCAGGCGTGAAGTATATTCCGTATGTTTTATTCCCTGCCCTTGTCTTTGGTTATATGTGGGGTAGGAATTGATGGATGCTGATAACAATGTGTCTTGGTATAGGAGGGACGGTAGCACGGGTGAAGAGGAGGCGTGATCCATCGATCGCTATCTGCTTGCTCAGATGTTTTTCTTCGCTGCTTTCGTTCGTTTGCGCCATATGTCGGTTCTCTATCTTGCACGGCATAGCGATATTTTCTTCAAAAAAGGGAGGATGGCTTGGCCTTCTTTCTTCGATTTGCACGATTGGAGTTTCGGTTCTACAATTTTCTCTTTTTATCATGTACGGTACGGGGTTTGTCGGGTTGGTTTGATTTTGCACACTGTTTATAATTTACAAAGGGGCATGTCTACTGGATACCCGGACAATAGATCAAGATCAAGATCAACGTTGCCTTGGCGGCATCACTTTGTTGCTCAATGACTAGACTAGCATCATCGCCATAAATCGTAGCGCAAATTGCCTTTGAATAACGGCTAAAGATATCATGAAAAGAAATGACCCCATCCCAAGTTCCGCTAAACGCCATTACTCATAAACTAGAGTTCAATAAATCAATCGTGCAGCTGCTTACAGCTGCTTAATGATCTTCTCAACGCTCTCCAGGAGGATATCAGCTGCAACATGTTAGCATTCCTTCTCTCACATCCCGTATCTAGGGCAGACTTACCATGGTGCTTCTGGAAGACCAGCATGGGCCTCAGGCGGACGGCGCTCTGGCCGCTGCCACCAATGTTGACACCAACGCCCTTGGCCTTGACCAGGAACTCGTCACGCTTGGGCGTGTCCCAGGCAATGAAGGTTCCCTGGCCCTTACCACGCAGGTTCTGCAGGTGCTCGGGGTACTGCTTGGCGAGACGCTCCAGGCCGGAGAAGAGGTAGTCACCGGTGGCAGCAGTGTTCTCCACCAGGTTCAGGCGCTCAATCTCCTCGATGATACCACGGAAGATCAGAGCACGGGCCGGGTCACCCATCCAGGTGTTGAACTGACGGTAAGGCTTGTTGGGGCGCAGGGCCGGGTTACCGTAGTAGTAACCGGCGGTCTGGGCCTTCTTGGAGAAGGTCACCATGTCGGGGGGAGTCTCCAGGTTCCAGTGGTCGTGGGCCCAGAACTTGCCGGTGGCACCCACACCGGTCTGCACCTCATCAACGATGAAGAGGACGTTGTTGCGCTTGGTGATCTCACGCAGGCCACGGAAGAAGGCAGGGGAGGCGTGGTTGTCACCACCCTCCGACTGGATGGGCTCGACGACAACAGCGGCGACGGGGTTGTGCCACTCCTTGATGAGACGCTCAGTCTCCTGCAGGCAGCGCTGCTCTTCCTGAGCGTTTTCCTGAGCGTGCTCCTCCAAGGGGTACTTCAGGGAGGGGAAGGGAGCCTGGGGCCAGTCAAAGGCAGGAATGTCCAGCTTGTGGATGGGCTTGCTGCGGGTTGTAGACAGACTGCCGAACAGACGACCGTGGAAGGCCGACTTAAAGGACATGATGGACAGTTGAGGAGAACCAGGGGACTGGTTCTTCATGGTAGACTCCAGCTCCTCCTCGGTGAACTCGGTCTCAGCGCTACCACGCTCGCGCTGACGGTAGTACATAAAGGCGGCCTTGTAGGCAGTCTCGTTGGCATCCGAGCCGGCCAGGGCGGTAAACACCTGGTTAAGGCCCTTGGGGGCAGCCTTGAGGATACCCGTGTCCAGGATGTCAGCCCAGTCGTGAGAGGGGAAGTTACCCAGAGCCGGTCTGTTGATCAAAGCATTGACCATCTCGGGGGACTCTGCCACCTTGCGGAGATGGGGGTTGTTGTAGCCGACGGGGATGGAGGCAATCTGAGCATAGCTGAGGACGATATATGTTAGAACCATACAATCACATTGTCGCAAGGATCAACATCGGTGAATAGTAGTAGCTTACACATCCAGAAGCACGTTTCCGTCCAGATCGGCGATGCTGTGTCAAAGTTAGCGCTCGTTCGGCGATTTGCCCGCAAGGGATGAGATCAACGCAGGTCAACTTACTAGTTACCGTGGGACTTGTAATAATTAGTGAGCATGTTCAAGCTGCGCACATCGAAGACCTTGTCGAGCTTCTCAGCAGCAGCCTTGTTGTTGGGGCCAGGAATGGCCGTGGCCAGCTTGGGAGCAGAAGGCTCATCGGGGAAATAAGGCTTCTCCGCAGCGCGCATGTGCGGAGTAGTGGTGAGAGTGCGGACGGCCGACAGGCGCGTCGTCGGGCGGAGCCTCAAGCTGGAGCGGAAGATGGCAGCCATTGTGATGAATTAATTGAGAGGAGATGGGTTTGAAAAGGAGGAATAAGTTGAGGGGCCAGGGGTACAGAAATACCCAGCTGGAAAACAGGGATGTGGGGAAGGATACGATGACGATAACGCAATGATGATTGATAAGGAGCTCCTCGGTCGACGCTCAACCAGACAAGCAGCGGACCAGCACCAATTATAGGTTTAACCTGGTGCAATTGAGATGACTTTGAAGTGAGAAGATAAATCACGAGAAAAATGGCAGCGTGAAGGGTTAAATACGGAGCGAGGGGGCAGCTATTGAAGGGAGAGCTCGCGATGGATTGGAAGCTGCCCCGCGCCGTACAGCTGCTTCGGCGTTTTGCACCAATCATCAGCCGTGCTTGCCCCGTGCTCGGCGACTTCTTAACCCATCCGGAGAGCCGCCGTTCAACATGATAATTCCCAATGATAATAGTAATTCCATAATCCAATCATTTAGATGGAGATGTTCTCTATTGAGTCAATCTGCTTGCCTCTTCCGCCGACTGCCGATGACGGTGAGTGGCAATGAGCATAGGAAGTGACTGCCTAATGGGGTGAGATCATATCGGATCATGGATCTGCATCGCTTATCAGTGGCAGGGGTGGCTGATAAGCACTCCATCTCTCGCCGCGAACTCCGATGCATCACCGCCATTCCAGTGATGCCAATTCAGCATTCAGCTAAGGAGAAGCATAATTTGGTTAGGTAAAGTATAGAATACATAAATTGCTCACTTCCTTTGTAGCTGAGAGTAAGTTAGCTACATTGTTTCTGCGATAAACAAGTTCAATTCAATTGAAGGCAGTGCTACTCGAAATATATTTTACTAGTACCACTACTTCCACTACTTACTAGTACTTGGGCTGTACATAGAACTTGCCGGTTGGCATCATGATCCAGATCGATGATCATGATCTAAGTTCAGTTGAAAGACGCTTGAGAGTACTAGCAGTACATGTGTCAGAGGTCGGAAATCAATATGAAATTCGATTAGTCTATTGCTTAACATCTAGCGAAAACCGAAGCAATACAGCATGCGATAATCTAAGTCAAGCATAGTACCAACTCAAAACATAGATATCATAGCCAATTGGACCAAAAGTCCAGGTGTTTGCAAACAATCAAGCCTTCTAGAATCAATACACATCACAATAATCACATGTCAGAGACAGTACTAGCGTCTCCCCTAACTCAAATCGATTAGAACCAGAACATACCCATCCACTAAGTTACAATATACCAGATAAAATCCTGCACCTACTCGAGTGTCAATTTCAGCAACCCAATACATACCCTCTAAAAATTATATGTACTCAATGTCACCCGTCAAAGATACCAGGAACAAAATCAACAAGCCAAAGCAAGCGAACAACACAAGCGACAAAGCTAGATAAATCACCATAATTAAGCTCCCACTACGATAACACCAACACCAACACTAACAAGGATAAGAAAAGAAAAGCAAAAGAGCCAAGACCAGCACACAAGTGAACACAGAACACACACAATCACGATTTCTAATACCAATTCTCGACACTAAATACAACATACCTACCTACAGTACTAAACCCATCATCATCTCTCCGCAACCCTTATTTAAGCCAATTTTTCAACTTCAAAGCCAGCCAAGACATCCTCTCATCCTCTCAACCCCAACACCGACACCAACACCAAAGCTGAAACCGAGGTATAGCACACCATAATATACCCAAGCCCCCAAAGTAAAATTCCAAATCTCAATTACTAACGATCTACTAGATACATATGCACACACGGGCCCCCATGTCCAGCTTTAATCTCCGATGCAAGATTAGCTGAGGAGGTGAGTATCCAATCATATTCATAATAGTAGTAGTCTAGACCAGTTATTAGCGATTAGCGTAGTGTGTACACCATTGTCCGAATGTTCGGACAGGAGTTCAGAGTACTTACTCCCCTGCTGTCGGTAATGGTAGTAAATGGATTGAAGTGAGTTGAGTGCACCAAGTAAAAAAGAAGTGCCCCTCTTCCACCATAATAATTACACTTTTCACACATTTCTTTTTCTTTTCCCCCACGGGACATGACACACGACTAACATCTGAAGAGAATAACTACTACTCCTATACACCCCCAACTTTACCAAGAAAGAAGACAATCATCCTCCACCAAACCACACATCACAATAAACCACACCAACCTAGACTACCCCTCACCAACACCTCCCCCAAAACCATTGTCAGATCTTAATTACACCCTTCCGTACCTGCATTAGGTGCAGCAAGACGGGCCGTAGTTTATTAATATAGTCTAATTTACAGCACGTCAATCTACGGAGTGGCCGATGTCAAAGATAAAATGGCACTTATCAGATGAATAAATCAACAATCAACGCACTGCATCCCTCCGCCGGAGCGGACACACGGACTCTCGTTTCGGTAGACCCGACCTGTGCTGCACTGGGGGATCCCTGCAGGGAGGGGGGGAATTAATACTGTCTGTTAAGTGACTATGATCCATGGATAGAATCGGAAGGGGCAGGAGAAAGAAGCGGGACTGGATGGGGTATTGTATAGGATCGGATCAGGCCATACTGGCATCGGAGTTAGGCGCATGCGAGGCATGGATGAGTGGAGTCATGACCTAAAAGTAATTGCAGTGGAGCCGGAGACCCACTCCGTTTACGGAAGGAATTGGTTGACACTTAATATCGGATGGGCTGAGATACTCGCCAGAGACGGTCGCGTGGTGGTGGTATAATGGTATTGTGTGTGGTATATTCATGTTCGTGATGTGTGTTTGGTATACTATAGGTACATGACTCCAGCCTCAAAAGAGTATACATGGGTAGTAAGTTATACATGTTCATAACTCAATTCATAACCAGATGACACCCCCTTGTTGCATTAAGGGGAATGGAAGAATAGAAAAGGAGAATATAGAGAGCGTGACACCCTAGACCGGGTCCCTGTTTTCGTAAAATGTGTGTTGCTCCTTGGAGTCACGGGTGAGTGAGGTGGAGGAGACGTCGCTTCCAGGCGACGTATATACCACTCCATTATTCTTCAGATCGACGTGGTGCGTCGGGGTTGCAACGCGTGTGTGATTCGACATGACCTGAGAGTTGTTGCTATGGCTGGGTCGCCGATTCT